ATCGACATAGTGATCTTCTTTATACTATACTAAGGCTTTGGTTTTTATAATAGGATTTGGCTAATTTTAGTCTTGAAATATTTGTGAAAACTCAGGGAAGTTTTATAGCGAGAAAACTGTATACCTACTATTTAATAAGAAATAACAAAAGGCAACAAATAAAAAACAGCCTAAATAATTTAATTTTCCAATACAATTCGTTTTTAGCATCAAAATATTTGATGTCTAGTGTTTTTTAATATAATAAATCTTCTTTCTGTATTAGTAATTAAACGCCCCCTATACGGATGGACTGATTTTGATAATGTTCAAGTGGGTTTAGATTATTTACAATTTGATATTTGAAAGTTGTTTTTTGTATTTAAGACCTATGTACAGGATAACGTCTGTCGGGTCCGTTAGGATATTATAAATTTACTATATCCCTTTTCCAAACGTTAAATATAGATTGAAAAAATATCTGGTCGCCTTTTTTCATTATAAAATGAATACTTCAAAGGCGAAATATCAATTGCCAATAGAATAACGGGTTTTCGGTTTATGTGGTTCCATCGGAAAGTGAGAAAAACACTTTGTATTAAGCTGTAAACTGAAAGCTTGATATTGCTTTTAGCGGTTTTTGGTCAGAGTTTTTTGTAATGAAAAGGTGATTTAGAATTTAATTTTGTAATTTGTAAAATTGTTTTACAAAATACAAAATTAAATTTCTACAGTTCAAACAATTAATCTAACTGTAAACGTTTAGTTCTGTTTTTGAGTTGCAAATCATGTGCATTAGGCATTGAATTATTTCTAATTTAAGGTATTATTAATTTCACAAATATAGAGTATTTACAATATTCTTGACCAACATAGTAATGATAATAATTAAAAATTATGATAAATAGAAAATTTAAATAAATTTAAGTTTGGCTGTGTACCAACAGCTCACTGAAGCATTCCGAACCAATTCAACTTAGGGTCCCAGAAAAGAGCGTACCAATTCTTAAAAGGCCGGCAACGCACTTTGGAGCCTTCTGGCAATGTAAGTGTCCATGGGCGGCGGTATCACTTAACATCAGATGAGCCTCCTGCTCATTTGTTCACTCACTTCACTGTGTTGCGATACTTATTTTGAAGCACGAGGGAATTACCAGATCACCGGTAGTAGTAGTACCAGGCGCCAACTTCAATCTTTAATGCCGGTGCACTTTAACCCCACGACCCAAGACTCTGAAGGGATCAAAATTTGGAGGAAAGACTCTTATTATATTTGAGCTGTTTATTATTTTCCGCCTGCGCTGCAGCCGCGCCAGCTTTTATTCTTGTTCGAGGGAGGTGAGACTAGGTTAAAGAGTCCACACATGTAGTATGTTTAGTATTAGTTGTTCAGTAGTAAATCTCGTCTGTTCAACCCCGTTTATTAAACTGGCGTAATGAGAATGATTGAATTTTTTTGATTATAAATACTTTTTTCTTCCAAATGTCATGGATATATATGTATTATTATCGTGTAAATTGCAACATTGATATTAATACGACAGCCTCAGAAAGTTCGATGGAGCGGTGTAGGAGCGTTGAAGAGCTAAATGGATACAACAGATGTGAACAAAAGTTTTACCAACATTTCATCAGGGCTGTCATTTAATACATACTAACCCGTGGCCCGGGTTCGTAAGCATTTTTATTGATAAATAGAATATTAGCGGACTCAGATCTCGACAGACCTCTTTATAATATTAAATATTAATAGATGATATATTAATATTGATTTTTTAAATATTTCAATTAAGAGATATCATTTCTGATTGTTTTATCTACTGATAAACATTTATATATATATATATATATATATATATATATATATGTATATAAATATTCTGTGTACTCGACACCTATAGATACTGATATTCTAAAAAGGTAAAGTTTGTGCATCAGGACAAAAAAATGAGGACGAAGAATGTAAATGGGCGGTCATACTGCTAAAAGCAGTTTGTTCCAGACAAGCCAGACGTAAAGTCCGCAATATAAAATTACATGCACAGGTAAACATTATAAATGGATTAAATATAATTTTTTCCATATAAATAGTATTTTTAGGTTTTAGAAAAAACTCATATTCCGGGACAGAGTCAAATAAATTTCCAAAGTGGTATCAGCCCTAAATTTTACATAACTCGATACTTTGCGTGAAAATGAAGGAAACTTTGTATGTCGTGTTGTGAGAATACACGGAACAATTTAACAGCACTTCCTTCGCGCGCTTAGCTAATTTACAAACTTGTAACATTCTTCAGATATCTTAGCAAACGAGAGCGAAGCTTTTCTCTGTATTTTCTTACGTCATTAAGGAATGTGGTCCCGTGGTCTAGTGGTTATTGCAAATCAACCCACAGAACCTTCAATTCGATTCACGAAGTTCGTGTTCAAAATAACTCCACGTTACTTTTGTTTGACAACAATTAATTAGGTAAAGTGTAATAAAAACAAATCAACCTTACCAGTAAAATTACACTGTATTCTAAAAGATACGATATACTCTTTGATCTATAAAAATATTAAAAGAACACATTACTAAAATGTAATAAATTAATGCAATAAGCGCGGCGGAAGCGTGAACGAAACCGGAAAAAGGCTTTTAAATCACTCTCAACGGAAACGGAAGTGGTTCGCTAATAAATATGGCGGCTCGTGTGCGATAAATATTATGATACTGTTTATATGGTTTCACTATATTAATGAATGTGTACTTTGTGGTTGAATTGGGGTAAGTGCATTTATTGTTTTAATAATGTTGAGAGATTTTACTATAGAGTTCAGATACATTCTAATGTTTGTTCGCTTGACGTACTTCTGTTCTATTACATATATTTCATTGTACTATATGTGAGACCATAACACATATGTGTTTAAGTTTGAAATATGCATTATTAAAACCAGTAGGAATTTAAGATTTACCTAATCTTATTAGTTTAACCTGACGAAAACAATAAGAAATAATATCTCTCACCGGCTCCAAGTCTTCGTCAACAGCTGTATTCGCCGTATTCTGGGCATCTCCTGGCCTACGAAGACCCTAACATGCACCTTTGGGAACGTTGCCGAGAAACCACGATTAGCCAGCAGATCAATTGACGCAAGTGGAAATGGACAGATCAAACTCAAACTCAAACTCAAACTCAAAATATCTTTATTCAATAGGTAACCAAGTACACTTTTGAATCGTCAAGTTAATTAATCGTAAATTTACATTTACTACCAGTTCGCAATCAAGGGCGTAGAGCGGGTAAGAAGAACTGGCAAGAAACTTTCCGCCACTCTTTTTAATCGCCAAGTATTGTCATACAAATTGTTTGAACTGGAGCAATTCAATCCCAAGGATTAGGATCATTTAAGTAGTCCTCAAATTTATAAAAAGCTTTGTTGATTAATTTTCGTTTAACGAGGGCTTTGAATTTATTTAGTGATAATTCTCTAATTTCGCTTGGGAGCTTGTTGTAAAAACGAATACAATTTCCATAAAGGAGTGGTTTATCTTTTGGAGCCTGGTTGGTCGTACACTCAAATTAGTTCTATTTCGCGTATTATACTGGTGAAAGTCACCATTTGTTTTAAAATCGTTTATATTTTTTTCGACATACAACAAGGCTTCAAGAATATATTGACCAGATAGTGTCATAATATTTAATTCCTTAAACTTATTCCGTACCGACTCCCTCGAGAACACAACAAATACCCCGAACAGCCCGCTTCTCACACAAATATGGATTGAACCTCTCAGCACACCCCCACAGTAAATCCGTACGACATAACGCTATGAAAGTAGCTATGTACACAATTTTACCGTGTCCTCATCATAAACTGTCGGATTTTCTTTACTGCATATGCTGCAGAGCTCAGCCTATTCGAAAGAGTCTCTAGTGTGGGCCCCATTGGAGTTTACTCTTTGTTATGCCTAGAAAAACAGTTTTGTCAACAAAGTTTAGTTCACTGTCCTTATTTTCAGGTTACCAATATCTCGCTTTACCTGTAGTTGTAAATCTAATACATTTTGTTTTATTCTCATTAAGCAATAAGTTATTTACATTAAACCAGTTAACTATACGAGAGATATAATTGTTTACATCGTCCAATATACGTTATTCCTACACTTTAAATAGAAGTGAAGTGTCATCAGCAAACAATACCATCTCATGAACTTCGTTGACAAAATGGGAGGTCATTTATGTAAATCAGAAATAAGAAAGCCCGAGAATCGATCCTTGGGGACGCCCATTGATACCTGCGAACCCGGAGAGGTGACTCCATTGACATGAACTCTTTGGATCCTTCCCTTTAAATATGAATTCATCAGGCTGAAGCTTTGCCATCAACGCCATAGTGTTGAAGCTTTCCAACGAGTAGATCAAATCCTCCGAAGAGATTCTAATTATATCCCCAAGCAGGCGCTTGATTGGAACCTGCAAGAGAAGCGGAAGGGTGGCTGGTCCAAGCAAATCTGGCGTCGTACAAATGCAGATGAGGCAAAAAGAGCCGGAAAGATGAAGCGAGGTGAAAACGAGGCTCAAGACCAAACGCGATGGAGACTCACTCTGGACGCCCCCTGCCCCACCTAGGTTATAGGATATTAAGTCAAAGAACAGGAAGTTCTTGCCTTATAAAACGAATGATGTTATAAATGCATATGTCTGCACCATGTACGCGAGTTATGGGCGTTAGGGCAACACACTCTTCCTTATTTCAGTGTCATGTCTTATACTAAAGCCTACAAAAAACATATTGTGAAATAACTTACGCATTGCAGAAAGCTCGTCGAAATGATACTACTGCAACGTTGTTTTACCACAGCGATATAAAATTCCCTACATCTCCACTTAATCTTAATTAGATAATGGATGCTCCCCGTAGACCAGGCTTTGCTTCATTTGACAAAGAGCTTTAGGATCCATATATAAACCGAACAAACCTCTCATCTTCACACAGCAAAATCTTCAGTACTTCAACACACAAGACTTCTAAAAATGGCCGGGAAAATCTTCGCAATTCTCGTACTTGTCTCCCTCGCTATCTTAACCGACGGTAGCCCAGCTGTTATTACTGGCTACGACCCGTTAGAGTTGTGTATCGAAAACTGTGCGCAATGCAAGAAGATGCTTGGAAACTGGTTCGACGGACCTCTGTGTGCCGAGTCCTGCCTCAAATTTAGGGGAAAACTGATTCCAGACTGTGAAGATTTTGCCTCAATCGCCCCATTTATTACCAAGCTCTAAGGATCTCAAAAGAAAACAGTGAATTTGTGGATAACGATAGAATGATGATTGATTATGGCTTTTGATTTAGATGTTTTATATCAAATACGGAAAAGGACCTGATTTTTCACTTTAATTTGAAATTGGGAATTCGGGTAAATAAAAAACAAAACATTAATGCAGAGAGATATAAGAATAAAATACCAAATACTACTAAAGAAGAACCTACAAGCGGTATAACATATAATATAAATATGAAGTCAAATTTGGCACCTTCCTCTACGTTTTTATGAAATCAAGCAAAAATCTTTTACACTTATGAAAATAAATTAAAGAAAAAATATAGTAATTGTATGTACGCATATATGAATTAATTTACAGATATAGATGTATATTATTATATAAAAATTTATAATAAACTAAAATTTGTGACAGAATCATATGAATGTTTTGAAGTGTACTTATTGTATATTAAAATTATAATGTATTTAACTTAAATTCACTATCCTAATTGTTTGTTGTTGAAAGGCATAAATTTTGTGAAATTTCAAGTGTTGGACTTCCTACTGAAATTGTAAACAAAAATATAAAATAAAATTTTGTTTATAGAAACTAGACTTTTAATTCCTTTTCAATGTTAATATATAATATGTATTGATTAAAAGTATGTAAATAATAAAAACTTATACAAGCACAAACCAACTCCAACATATTCTATAATATTATTATTTTTTAATTATCAAAAACAAGTATAAAATATACATGTGGACAAGCTGCAAAAATTTGATTGCGAAAATGCAAATAGAAAGCAATAAATTAGAAGAGACAAGGATGTGCTTACAAAAACAGTTCGAATGACAATATACAGTCCTTAGTAAAATTACATTTATTATATTTAATAGAAATGGGTTTGCTTCAACTAGTAAACTTAAACAACTTCAGGTTCTACAAAATATCTTAATTAAAATCCTCTTATTTGAAAATAAAAATCCTTAGTAAAATCACATTTATTTTATTTAATAATAGGGTAGCGCTACAAGTAGTAAACTTGAACAACTTAAGGTTCTTCTTATTAATTAAAAATATTATTTTCTTTATCCTACTCTTAATCCTACTTAAAAACTTTACATTGCAACGAAATTATGAACCTTAAGCAGTTGCATACAACATGCATTTTATTAAAGAAAAACTTTTCCGAATTCGGTGGGACAGTCCTAGACTTCAAAGCTAGTGTTAATAAATGGGGTTTGCACTTATTGAACAATGGCCATGTTTCGATTTTGTTAGAGGTATCCATTAAAATGTTCACTCGTACCTAAGTTATATACAATAGTCCCAGCTTGCGAAAATAAATGAAAGACTTAGTGCGCCTTTGCCTGCCATTGTTGAATCCCACAAGGTTCAGTTTTGGGATCTATGTTGTTCCTCATCTAATACTGCCAGATTACAAAGTATGTAGATGATACGTTAGGCGGTTCTATTTTGAACCATCAATACAAGAAGGAAAGGAAGATTCTTGGCTCAAAAAGCTCTTGACCCACTTTGTGAACCAGCTAACACCAACCTTTTGACCATTAATACCACGATTTTCTTACATTATCTTTAGAGCTAAAAATGAAATATTAATTATTCCTTATTAAAGTATGAATATAATGCATTTACTGTAGTGTACATTACAATTGCAATGACTGTAATCATAAATTTTACAAAAAATAATTAAAATTCTCTCTCTCTAACTGCAAATTTTAGTGTTTCTAGTGATTTTTTCCTATATAGAAAAAAACTATTCGCTCAACAATGCGGAATAGGTGCCAAATAAGCGGGCTTATTTTAAAATTGATCAGCCCACTACCGAATAAGTAGTGTTTGTTCTGTTATATTCGCGAATAATTCGAATGCAAGGTAGCTGAGGTGGTTTTTGCAGAATTTGAAATATTCTACTGATTTTGAACCTTCTGAGGATCTGTTTTGTTTCCTATTTAACCATTTGTATAAGAACGTAATAACGATCTCCGATCGTACAATGACATAATTTTCAATTTCTTAAGTCGCTGATGGTACGGGAAAATAGAAAATCCTATATTAATGAATGCAAGGTGTCGAGTGTATCATTTTTGAATACTTTGTTGACTGCGTTATACAAAATTGTTTTAGTTTTACAACCAAAAGAATCTGTATTCCTTTTAAGAAACCCGAGCATTCGTGTGGATGTGTTGACTTCTCTATTAAGTTAAGATATAAACGTTAATTTTCTGTTACGAATCCTATGAACTTCTCTCAATAATGCGTCGTCAAGCTCTTACAAAGTAACAAACGGCTTTTTTTTGGTGTATTTAATATAAAAAACCACTTTACATTAAAGATCATACCATTTAGTAAGCACCAATCTTTCACACCATTAAGATTATTTTGAATAAGAGATAGAGATAATAACTTTATACATTTTTAAATCATCAGCGACGTGAGACGTTCTGTCGTTCACAAATACTTAGAGTAATAGTTTCAGATAGGATCCTTCGGGAACACCACATCGCGCAATGTAAGGAGTAGACTTAGCGCTTCCGCCAACTACTGACTGAGGCCTATTATGAAGATTTGAATTAGTCTTGGGTCAAAAGCATTGATAAAGTCAGTATATATTGCATCAATCTGACGCCCACCACTTAATTCCTGATATGTTTATGTCACAAATGATGATGAGGTTAGTTTGAATTGAACCTCTTCTAAAACCATGCTGCCCATTAGTGATACAGGGGCAATACTTTTATTTAGAGATTATAGGATTCAGGACCGATTCAAAAAGTTTGGAATAGAAGATAAAATACAAAGAGCATGGTAATTTTTTAGTCCGTAATTTCTCTCGTATTTCAGGGAAAACACCATCTTTAAGAGATCTATTATAGATAATAATAAGGGGTAAAGATGACACAAATCTACATCTCATTATAAAAAATAAATAAAATAAAATATGTTTATTATGGAATATAAGATACATGTATCACTTATTCCACGTCATTAAATTTGAATTTGTAGGCATCCCTACTCATTGGCAAAGAAGACAGAGGGTGTAGGCCGAGAGAAAAAGCCGGCGTAAAAAACTCTCGGTACTCTTTTAAAATAGCAAATGATCAAACAACACTTATTTTAAAACAAATATCGCAAATTAATTAGAAGTAGCCTGTCTAGCACTAGTCCCAGGCCCTTTTATCAACTAGATAATTGTTGACTTTATAGTAAGCCTTTTTGCACAGCTTTTCTTTAATACATTTCTTAAATTTATTAAAAGGCAGAGATAAAAGAGCCTCTGGGATTTTATTAAAGAAGAGTATCCCTTTTCCCAAAAAGAATTACTAACTTTAGATAGTCTAGTACGGGGAAATTGCAGCCTGCGTTTGTTCCGTGTGTTAACATTGTGCGTATGTTCTATTCTAGTAAACTTATCACTATTTTTGTATACATATATAATATTTTCATAAATATATTGCGAGGGAAAGGTAAGTATATTGATTTCCTTGAATTTATCTCTAAGAGATTCCCTACATTTTAAATTCTAGATTGCACGAATAGCCCTCTTCTGCAGGATGAAACTAGTTTGGACATCAGCAGCATGACCCCATAATAATAAGCTATGTCATTAAGCTATGAAAGTAACTAAAATAAACAAGTCTAGCTGTATCGACATCAGTTAGTGAGCGAATTTTTTTAACCGCGTAGGCAGCAGAACTAAGTCTCTTCGCCAATCCGTTAATATGAGGGGACCACTGAAGTTTTGAATCCATGGTGATTCCGAGAAATACAGTTGTATCATCCAGATTCAATTCCTCACCTTCCTCGCATTTTTTGCACAAAATTTAATGCATTAAGTAGAAGGTTATTCATACTAAACCAATGGACAATCGAAGATAGAGCATTGTTCACAGCGTCAAAATTTGTTACTTGTCGTTTGATTTTAAAAATCAAGGACGTGTCATCAGCAAACAAAACTATCTGATGTTTTCTCTCTACCATGAAAGGTAGATCATTTATATAAACAAGAAAGAGGAAAGGGCCAAGAATTGAGCCCTGTGGTACCCCCATATCTACTGCCGACCCAGAAGACCTCTTACCATTCACTTCAACCTTCTGAGTTCTTCCGTGTGAATAGAAAGTCAGAAGATTCTGTGCGGTATTCTTGATGCCATAGTGGCGCAGTTTCCCGATTAAGGTCTCGTGTTGGACACAATCAAATGCTTTGGATAAGTCGCAGAAAACTCCTAAAGCGTCATGCGAATCCTCCCATGCCTTAACTATATATCTATATAACTCAACACCGGTATCGGCTGTCGAGCGACCCTTAGTAAAACCGAACTGATTATTATGTAATAATTTGTTTACGTTAAAATGATACGTCATTACAAAGATAGGTGGAATACGAGTAGCTCAGTCTGGCCTAATCAAGTCCTGGTATTCTTAGATATTTTAGCTTCTCTAAATCTAAGGGACATTAATTAGACCATGAACATTGCCAATATCAACTGCCAACAAGAATATACAGACGAAATTTGATATGAAAAAGGATTAGCAATATCAGGTAATGACTGGGCTTGTGAGATTGTCGATTTTCATGCAAGAGGGAAGCGGCGAATGACCGACGTTCTTATTTTTTATAAAACTACACATACATACATACAACCATTTCCTTTTTTAAACTGAATGGTGTTCCATTGCAGCAGAAAGACAGCGAATGATGCCTTGATCTACATCTCGATAGTAACCTATCATGGAGTATACACATTGACCACGTCAAGTCAAAATTATCTTCTCTTGTCGGTGCACTTAATATTTATATAAATTGATAGAAGTGGGATAGCGCTTCATCTTCAAGAATAAGGTTTTTCTTTATAGGCAAACGGGCAGGAGGCTCATCTGATATTAAGTGATACCACCGTCCATGGACACTCTCAATGCCAGAGGGCTCACGAGCGCGTTGCCGGCCTTTTAAAATAAAAATAGGTACGCTCTTTTCTTGAAGGCCCCTAAGT